GGGTTTAGGGTTTAGCTTGGTTTCGCGGGGGGGGAGGGGGGGGGGGGGGTGCGGGTGGTTCAGGATTTGTAACTTATAACCCGACTGAAAACAACCCATGAACCCATGAACCTCCACGTGGCGCGCAACGCGCTTGCTTCCCGCCACCCTTAGAACACGAGAGCCCGAACTCCTCAGATGCTCCTCCTTTCAGTCTTGCAGGTTTAGGGTTTGGGATTTAGGGTTTAGGGTTGAGGGTTGAGGGTTTAGGGCGGTTTAGGGCTTTAGGGTGCAGGTTTCCAGGGTATAGGGTTTAGGGTTTAGGGCCCGCAAGCCTGCTCCTGACATCGTTTTAGGTGTTAGGACGGGCCGCCATCAACTTGCAAGCTACCCTAGACCCTAAACTCCAAGCCCTAAACTCCAAACCCTAAACCCTAAACCCGAAAACTCCAAATCCTAAACCCTGAACCCTAAACCCTAACTCCTAAACCCTAAACCCTACACCCTCAACCCGAAACCCTAAACTCCAAACCCGATCTGCAAGGCCGCCTTTTACTTGACTATGCGGGAGGGCTTGGGGAACCCTAAACCCGAAACCCTAAACACTGAACACTAAACCCTAAACCCACACCTAAAACCCTGAACCCTAAACCCTAAACCCTAAACCCGCGTAAGAGGTCTTCAGCCCTCAAAGCCTAGGGAAGAGGTTCATGGGCAGATGCAAGAAGGGTTAAACGTACCTGAATTATAGGCGTTTTAAATTGGTTCTTACCTACAGCTCCCCTATGATACCCTCACGTATGGACCCTAACCCTGAACCTGCAAGAAGGAGTGGCTATAGCTGCACTTCTGGCTATGTACCCTAAACCCCTACACCCTAAACCCTAAAACCCTAAACCCTAAACCCCAGGCCCCGGCCCTGGTAGCCACTGCGGCCACCCGCGTGTCCGCCGCCCGCCTGGCTGGCTGAGCTGGCTGAGCTTGAGGCTTAGCTGGAAGCCTAGCTTACCGGGTTTAGGGTTTAGGGTTTAAAGTTTAGGGTTTAGGGCTTAGGGTTTAGGGTTTAGAGTTTAACTAGAGTTTAGCGTTTAGGGTTTAGGGGTTTAGGGTTTGGGGTCTAGGGTTTAGGGTTTAGCAACAGTTCTTACAGCTGTGGTACGATAATTATCGGCAACCATGTCCAGGTCATGAGGCCGTTTTAGGGTATAACCTTCAACCCTGAACACAAAAACGCTAAATCCTAGAAACCCCAAACCCTAAGCCTAAACACCCTAAACACCCTAAACACCCTTAAACACCCTAAACACCCCAAAAACCCTAAAAACCCTAAAAACCTTAAAAGAAAAACAAAAACCCTGAAAACCCTGAAAACCCTAGAAGCCCTAAACAAACACTAAATGCCTGCCTGACCCCCAAAAACCCTCAAAACCCTAAACACCGTAAAAACCTAAAAAGCCTAAACAGCAAAAAAAACAATGCCCTAAAACGCGGGGCACCGCCACAAAACCCAGAAAACCCTAAATACCCAACAAAAACAGAAAACCAAAAAACCCGTAAAACCCTAAACCCTAAAAACCCTAAACCCTAAACCTCAAAGACCCAAAACCCTAAACACCCTACACGTAAGGGGGGCACCTCTTCGCCACTAAACCCAGAAAACCCTAAAACCCTCACAACCCTAAACCCTAACAACCCACAACCCTAAACCCTAAACCCTCAACCCTAAACCCTAAACCCTAAACCCTAAACCCTCAAACTCGGGCCTCTTCACCACACAGCCGGCCACCCAGGCCGCGGCGGCCGCCGTAAGCGCCGACGGCACGCCTGGTGCACTCGGGGGGGTAGGGTTCGGGTTTAGGGCTTGGGGCTTGGGGCTTGGGGTTTGGGGTTTGGGGTTTAGGGTTTAGGGTTTAGGGTCTAGGGTCTAGGGTTAAGGCTCATCTCAGGATTACAGCGGCTTTGTGGAGGCTGTCGGGCTGTGGGGCGATGATCTGCTCAGACGCTTAATACATACGGGGCCTTCACACCTTAACAATTTTGGGGGGTTCTTACCGTATACTTATATAGGCTTTAGGGTTTAGGGTTTAGGGTTTAGGGTTTAGGGTTTAGGGTTTAGGGACCAGAAGGGAAGACTATGAGTCTTTATTCCAAAAAGTATGATTGTCTAGGGACCAATAGGGGAAGACTAGTAGTACTCAATCCGATCCCTAAACCCTAAACCCTAAACCCTAAACCCCTATAGCACACCGTTGCCAGGGCCTCGCTGGGGAGCTGCGCGCCTGGCCTGCCCGGGTGTTGAGGCGAACCTGCCATGGCTGCTGAGCGCAGGGTTCAGGGTTCAGGGTTCAGGGTTCAGGGTTCAGGGTTCAGGGTTCAGGGTTCAGGGTTCAGGGTTCAGGGTTCAGGGTTCAGGGTTCAGGGTTCAGGGTTCAGGGTTTCAGGGTTCAGGGTTCAGGGTTCAGGGTTCAGGGTGGGTAGGGTAGGGTTTAGGGTTTTTTTTTAGGGTTTAGGGTTTAGGGTTTAGGGTTTTTATTCCAGTTATTAAGGCCCCTTTATTATGGGGTGTAGGGGTTTTAAGGGCTTGAGGAGATTAAGGGGCTTAAGTCTTCAGGAGTTCTAGGGGTTGAGGGTGTTTCGGGTTTGGTCCCTACTGTTGTTCAAGGTATAGTCCTCAGTCAAGGGGGTTGTTGGGTTTTCATGGGCAACCACCTCACGACGGGCGCGGGCGGCGGCGCCGCGCCCAGGGCAAACGCCTTGCAGCCGAGGGCCATCCGGGGGGGGGGGGGGGCTTCGGGTTGAGGGTTTAGGGTTTGAGGCTTGAGCAGCTTAGGGTGTAGGCTTGAGAGTTGAGGTGTGCGGTTTCGGTCCAGCCGTAATTAAACTTTAAGAGCATAGGGCAGCGTGGGTACTTCTAGTGTTGCCACACAAACCCTAAACCCTAAACCCTAAACCCTAAACACCGACCTATACCTGAAACCTCCCTGGGCAACCCATGTTTCGCTTGAGGCTTGTAAGGGTTTATGGGGATGTTGAGGTTTCAGGTTTAAGGGTTTAGGATTTAGGGTTTAGGGTTTTGGGTTAATGTAAATGATGGCAGTAGGTGCTGCGCGCACGCCCACACACACACTTTCTCTCTCTGACTGTGACTCTGACTCTGGCTCTGACTCTGACTGTGACTCTGTCTCCGTCTCTGTCTCTGTCTCGCCCTCTCTCTCTCTCTCTCTCTCTCTCTCTCTTTCTCGGTGGTGGCAAGAGAGCCAACCTCGGCCAGGAGCGCCATGGCCACCACGCTAACGGGGCTTACGTGCCAGGCGATGCGAAAAAAACGATTTGTGCGCTTTCCGTGCTGAAGCCCCTGGATGGGTTCTGGTTACCATAGTTCTTGGAAGGGGACTGTATCAGCAGAGGCTGAAATGCCTACCAGGCATATCAAGCAGCACCGAGCAAGCCGAGAAAGTTTAAGTTGCTGCGCCACTGTCAAGAGACGTGGCCCAGAACACGTTCCATCCCATGAGCAGTCGATGAAACAAGTAAGGGTCTTTCAGAATCTCAGCGTTTAGGGTTTCGGGTTTAATTTAGGGTTTGGGGTTTAGGGTTTAGGGTTTCGGGTTTCGGGTTAAGGGCTCACAAGCTGCCACACACGCCCTTTTCTGGAGGTCGGAGTGCCCTCGTGCCGCAAAGATGCGGAAAAGACGATGAAGCTTCACAAGATCCCTGCAGCTTTAGGGTTTACTAAACCCTAAACCCTAAACCCTAAACCCTAAATTAGGGTTTAGGGGTTTAGGGTTTAGGATGTAGGGTTCTTTGACCGGGCAAGCCCTAAACCCTAAACCCTATCCGGGAAAGATACATACTCAAGATGTTTCCGAAACAAGCTCGTTTCCTAAGCCCTAGACCGTACGGCATGGCCAGAGCTCAGGGTTTGGGTTGAGGGCTAAAATTGTTTCAGTCATAGGCCTTACTTCTCGGGTGGGCAATACATAGCTAGAGCGTGGGTAGCCCAAGCCGCATTCAACGCTCCGGGCTTGCAATACTAAAGCCTACTCTGAACCCTTGAACCCTGAGCCTCGTAAGCCCTAAACCCTAAACCCTAAACCCTAAACCCTAAACCCTAAACCCTGAACCCAGTGGTTTTGCAGCTCGCCGTCGCCGCCAAGCCAGCGAGGCCTGGTAGCAGGGTGGCAGTTTTGGGTGTAGGGTTTCGGGGTATGAGCCCATGGTGTGCGGTGAGTTTAAAGTTAACGGTTAGGGCCTGGGGGGAGGGGGTTGAGAACGCCGAGCGAGGGCGCGGGCATAAGGTTCTGGGGCTTTACAGGGGGCCTGGCGCAAAACCCTAAACCCTAAACCCTGAACCCTAAACCCTAAACCCTAAACGCTGCCCATGAGTGCCGCACATGAAGCCCGCAAGCCTTTTCTCAGCCGCCTGCGCTGCAAATAAATTTCGATGCAACTGCGCCATCCAAAGTTGGTCGCTGCGATTTAGGATGTAGGGTTGATCGGATCTAGGATGTTTGGGGGGCTTCTACTACACGATGCGTGGCTCACGCAACTTTCGACTGCGCCAGGTCCATAGCCATTATCGTCCTAGTGCCCCTCACTGCCACCTTCGGTGGAAACTGCGACGTGCTTCCGTCACAGGCCGGGGTGTGATGCCGCAGATCGGGTGTGAAACCAGTTGGCCTCAAGACTAGGTTGCCCAGCTACCTCGTCAAGGAATGCTTTCTATTGCTGGGGAACCACTAAACCGTAAATCCACCCTACACCCTAAACCCTAAGCCCTAAGCCCTAAACCTAAACCCTAAACCCTAAACCCTTAGCCCTAAACCCTAAACCCTACCAAGAAAGGGAACAAAAGAGCACACTGGGCATCCTAGCAGAGGGTTAGGGTTTAGGGTTTAGGGTTCAGAGCTTAAGTTTTTTGGGGTTTAGGGTCAGGGCTTAGGAACCCAAAAACCACCCACACTAAGGCTGTCGGAGTTCTTCAGGGGTATAAGGTACACCCAAAGAAAAAAAAAAGAGGATCACAAGTTGACGTGGAAGACCGGCATCCGGTTCCTTGCCAGCCCAGGTTTAGGGTTTAGGGTTTAGGGTTTAGGGTTTAGGGTTTCGGGTTTCGGGTTTAGGGTTTAGGGTTTAGGGTTTAGGGTTTAGGGTTAATGTGGGTAGGTTGGTTACTTTACAAGGGGATCTTGAACCAAAAAAAGGAAAAGGGCACCACTGATCGACCAAGATTCTTCATGGGCCGGGTGTAGGTCTGCTCCGGGTGGCGGTAGTGCTCGCCGTACATGGTGCTGGTCGTCTCCCACTTCGGAATGCGGTAGCCTGCTTGGAGGTCCATAGGGTTTAGGGTTTAGAGTTTAGGGTTTAGGGTTTAGGGTTTAGGGTTTAGGGTTTAGGGTTTAGGGTTTAGGGTTTAGGGTTTAGGGTTTTAATGGGTTTAGGGTTTGGGGTTTAGGTTTTAGCCCCCCCCCCCCCCCCCCCAAATTTCTAAGTCTACCTGTAGCCCTATTAATAAGGAGCTTTTTTGGGGTTTTGGTTTTTGCCCCCCCCCCCCCCCCCCAAATTTCTAAGTCTACCTGTAGCCCTATTAATAAGGAGCTTTTTTTGCTTGCCTGAAGAGGACGTCATGCCATTTACAGTATGAGTAGTTTTCTACATTCAGTGCCTTTTGGGGCCCCTATATATAGTACGGCACCCGTAACAAAAAAATGCCCCAAGAGGTATCCTAATTTAGAGTGCTACTCATATGTCTACCGAACTTAGATGGGCTTGGCTGCCGAGGCTTGAGTTCACACAGTCAGGACACAATATTGTGTGAGATGTGTACACACATGTGTATATATATATATATATATATATACATATGTATATATATATATACATACCGACATACATACATACATACATACATACATACATACATACATACATACATACATACATACATACATATGTATGTATGTATGTATGTATGTATGTATGTATGTATGTATGTATGTATGTATGTATATTGTTCATCTACATCCATACTATGGTAACCTACATCGAGTTCCCTGAACCCTAAACCCTAGACAGTAAACCTGAACCCCAAGCCCTAAACCCTAGCAGCGGCCCAGTCGCGCGTAAGGAAGGGGTTCATGTTGTTGCGCACATCGTGGTGGCCGAAGTTGTGGGCAGAGCTGTAGTTATGGCTTCCTAGGTTTCCAGATGCTGTAGGGTTTTTGGGTTTCGGGCCTAGGGTTTGGGGTCTAGGGCTTCGGGCTCTAGGGCTTGGGGACTCAAGTTAGGTTAGCCTCCTTTTTGCAGTGGGGGTTGCGCGGTTTCTTAAGGTAGTGACATGGTCCGTTAGTATGGGCCCTGAAAAGGGGACCCCTCACTTACCCCTTATATACCCTACAAAACCCGAGGGCCCTTGACTTCAGAACCTTTTAAAGAGCGCAAAAGGACTTATTAACGGACCATATAACAACCCTAAACCCTAAACCCTAAACCCTAAACCCATATAGAGTTGGGAGTTGGGGGGAGGAGGTATGGCATGATGAAGTCCCATAAAACCCTAAACCCTAAGACCCTAAGACCCTAAGACCCTAAGACCCTGAGACCCTGAGACCCTAAGACCCTAAGACCCTAAGACCCTAAGACCCTAAGACCCTAAGACCCTAAGACCCCAAGACCCTAAGACCCTAAGGCCCTAAGACCCTAAGACCCTAAGACCCTAAGACCCTAAGACCCTAAGAGTCTGAGCTTCTGTGAGTCTTGTCCAGGCCATCTGCCCTGATCGTGCCGGTGGTCGCTTCCTTCACAGCTTGCGGGCTGGCACGTGCCTTTCAAAAGGGTAGAAAGCCTTATACGAAAACTCCTTAACCGCGATGATAACAGGGCGTACAAGAATCCCTAGCATCAGGGGGAGCATCCCAACCTAAACCCGAAACCCGAAACCCGAAGCCCGAAACCCGAAGCCCGAAACCCTAAACCCGAAACCCTAAACCCTAAACCCTAAACCCTAAACCCTAAACCCGAAACCCTAAACCCTAAACCCTATAAGCATAAGGGGGAACATCCCAAGCTCGACCCCTTGGGGCTTCGTGCTCGTCCTGCGACCGCGACGTCAGCGCCAGGGACCGCCCAAAGGCCTCGGATGCGCTTCTTGGGATTAGGGCTTAGGGTTTAGGGTTTAGGGTTTAGGGTTTAGGGTTTAGGGTTTAGGGTTTAGGGTTTAGGGGTTAGGGGTTAGGGGTTTAGGGTTTAGGAGGCATTTTTTGATTTTGTTCTTATTCTTGTGTTTTTTTTTTTTTTTTTTGGGGGGGGGGGGGGGGTTCGGGCTGAGGGTAGATGAGAGTCGAGATACAGTACCCTGATGAAGTACGGTTAACGGTTTGGGGCTTAGGATGGTACCCCCCCCCCCCCCCACCCCGCAAGAGCACGAGCCCATCTTTAGGCCTGAAACCCTGGAACAAAACAAAAGCACACACACACACACAAGCAGCGCTACAAAATGCCCTGAACTGCCAAGAAAGACGCACGGAGTGGAAGCACCTGCCTACATGACACCGAACCCCGAACCCCATAACCCTAGCTCCTCAACCCTAAACCCGAAAACCGAAACCCTAAACCCCAAACCCTAAAACCTAAACCCTATCAAGAAAGGGCATCCTAGCAGAACCGCTGCCTGCGCTGCTCTCGCCGTGCACTTGCTGCAGATTGTGTGCGTGTGTAAACCCTAAACCCTAAACTCTAAACCCTAAACCCTAAACCCTAAACCCTAAACCCCTAA